GAGGAGGCTTTGCTCCCCGCCATCGCAGATGTTGGGCGCAGGGCGTGCTCCGGGGTTCAGAGCTGTCCCGTGGCTGGGACCTGCCCACTGGACCCGTCTCTCTCGACGTGTCCTCAGAGCCGCAGCGGCTGAAGCCTTCCCCTGCGCCACGCTGCCTGCTCCAAGGGGACCCCCCATGCACTGTCGGCTTTGCTGTCACATCCCATCCCCGGGCGGGCGATGTCTCCCCTTTCCCTTCCTCTCTGCTCCGTGAAGGCTGCCTGGCCTGTGCTCAGCGTGGTAGCATGGCAGCGCAGAGACTGCCAGGCGTGGTGCCCGCTGCTCCCCGTGAGCTCCGGCTGCCCCGGCCCCGGTTCACGCCAGGCTCTGCTGCGCTGTGGGCGACGCAGGGCTGTTCCTGGTGCCAGGCAGCAGCAGGGAAGGGCTTGTCTCTGCTTGTTTATGCTTCCAGCGGCCCCTAATCCCCGTAACATGGTTTCTGTGTGGGAGAACGTGTTCTGGGACCATGCCACGTGCCTCTCCCCTCTTGTGCAAGTCCCGTGGCTCCGGCCGGATGGCTTTGCCACTTCCCCTGCAGCGTGCTCCCCCTGCGTTGGGCACAGCCGGTTCTGGGACAGGGACTGCAAGGCAGAGATCTCCTGGAGGAGATGGCTCTGCTGTCGCCCTGGGCTGCTCTCCAGGGGCTGGCAGCGTTCCTGGGTTAGACCCCGAGTCTGTGGGCTGGATTTGAGGTGCCAGCAAGAAGGCTTAGCTGCTCAGGCTCAAGGAGGATCTCATGACTTGGCCAGCATCCTCTGGGCCATCAGAGCCCTGTTATCTCTGTGGCAAAGAGCTTGGGCTTGAAATTACATCTGAGGTCAGCTGGAGTTGAAGCTGCAACCTTGTTTGTATGTTGTTGGCTAGTGCCAAGGCGCAGGGGAGCACGGGGCAGCTGAGCTGGAGCAGGGCATCCTACGGCTTGGTGCGCCCTGGGTCTGGAGGAGCTCCTCGCTCTGTGGGCTGGCTGCTGGTGCCTGCAGGGTGGGGAGGCCTTGGCTTGAGGCTTGGTGACGCCACGGTGAGGAACATGGGCTGGCGTGGCTGGAGACAGGGCACCCAACCCCACCAGAGTGGACCTTGGGTGGGCTGCTTGAGGGCACCTCTGCACCCTGGGACAGAGCATCCTCCCTGTGCTGCCTCGGGGTCTCCAGGTAACACTTGCCTGGACGTTGAAACCCCGTTGCCTTCCATGAGTGGTTTGTGGCATCTGAGCTGCCGGTGGAGCTTGGGCTGAGCAGCGTTTGGTCCCTTGGCGGTGGGATGGCGAGGGATGAGCAGGGTCCAGCCTCAGAGCTGCCCTGGCCACCAGCCAGGGGTTGCAGGGGGTTGCTGACCTGGCCCTTACCTTCCCTGTTTCTCTTCTTAGCTCCTGCACCTCTGCAGCCGAGAAGGAGATGGGAGGTGAGTGACCCTGCCTCTCATGCTGACAGGAGACAGCCAAAGGTCTGGCTGACCCAGGCGCTGTGGGCCTGGTGTGGGGGAAGGACCCGGCTCCCACGGCCTCAAAACACGAGCTGGATGAGGAATATCTTGGTTCTTGGCCAGCCTTGCTCCTCAGTAAAGGCTCAGCCTCTGCTCAGGCAACAGAGCAGGCAGGGTACATTGCAGCACTTGGTGGCTGTTTCAAGGTCCAAGCTGGAGCCCCTCTGCCCTGCACCCACAGCAGAAGCTCCTGGGGATGCTTGTAGGAGCTTGGCAGGGCTGCGTGGCCCATCTCCATCCTCTTCCACCCCAGGAGCAGAACAAAGGGAGAAGCAATACCGAGCCCATAAGGGATTTGGGGATCGCCGTGGCGGGGTCATCAGCGCCCGCACATATTTCTACGCCGATGAGGCCAAGTGCGACCAGCACATGGAGACCTTCCTCCACTGCATCGATGCCTCGGGTAAGTGCTCCATGTGTCTGGAGCAGCCCTGCTGTGCTTGGGGACTTCCGGGACCCTGCAGCCCGCCACTGTATCTTGGTCTCTGCCTTCTGCCTGAGCACCCTGCCCGTCGGGCTAGCTCTGTCCTTGTGTCCCTGTCCAGGTGGCAGCTCGGAGGACGGCTTCTCGGCCATCAAGCTGACAGCGCTGGGCAGACCCCAGTTCCTGGTGAGTGCCAGGGCTGTGACCAGGGTGGGGTGGGTCAGAGCCGGAGCCACGGGTGCTACATCTGCAGGGGAAGGTGCTTTGGGGCGCCAGGCTTGCCACAGTGGCATCTCTGCTGATGGCAGAGAGGAGTGGGCACCAGCAGGCTGTCTGCTGTGTGCCCAAGACCACCCTCGAGACCCTGCCTCAACTTTTGGGGATGCGTGAAGAGGTCAGATGTTTAAAGGTCCCAACATGAGGGCTGGGTGGGGGGTGGTCTGTCCTGCTCAGCTTGTCCCCTGCTTCGTGATGGTGCCCTGCTATAGGGTCAGGGTCTGAGTCCGGCTGGGTGATTTTGCAAAGGCCCAGCACGACAGGATGCTCCAGCCCAGGTCTCTCACCCTGAGCTCTGTCCCCACAGCTGCAGTTCTCGGAGGTGCTGGTGAAGTGGCGGAGGTTCTTCCACCAAATGGCTGCAGAGCAGGGCCAGGCTGGGCGGGCAGTGCTGGAGATGAAGCTGGAAGCGGAGAAGCTGCAGGTCAGGCAGGGGTGTCTGAGAGGGGAGGCTGTGCTGCCAGGATGCGCTGCTGGAGGTGGCTGGTGGCCGTGGATGTCCCACAGCAGCCCTGACCTGTGGCATCTCTGAGCCTGGAGCAGTAAGACCCCCATAGCCCCTTGGCACTGACGTTCCTTCTGGTGGCAGGAGGCCCTGGCCAACCTCGGCATCGCAACCAAGGCGGAGAGCCAGCACTGGTTCACGGGCGAGAACCTGGGCATGAGCGGGTAAGCACCTGCCTGCGACACGGGGAGTGCTGCCGGAGGGGACGCTGGGGACCTTGTCCCTGTTCCTGGGGCGGTGGGGCAGCAGCAAGCGGAGGTCTCCAAAGGCTGGCGCTGGCTCAGCACAATGACCAAGCGTCGAGGAGATTTGGGCTGAGGTGACAAGACGGGTCAGGGTGGCATGTGCCATGCACCCTGCTTGCCGGTGGGGGTTGGGAGCTGGTAGAGTCCCCCCTGCCCCAGCAAGACACCAGTACAGACCTGGCTCTCTGCTCCCAGCACTGTGGACCTGCTGGACTGGAACAGCCTGATCGACAGCCGCACCAAGCTCTCCAAGCTGCTGCTCGTCCCCAACATGCAGGTGGGTACCCATCCGTGCTGCCCCCGGGGCAGTCCCACTGGGGTCTCGGGGAGCAGGGTGGGGGTCTGCAGCCCGCAGGCCCTACCCAGTGGCTCACTGGTGGCTGTGGTGCTGGTTGGCATCTGTGCTGCCAGAGCCTGGCCGTGCCGTGATCCACCGGGCTGGTCGGGTGGGCACCCTGCGCATGCTGTGTGGGCCAGTGGGTGCTGGGGGGCCGGGGTGGGCAGCAGCCCTGGGCATGGGCTGCTTCCAGGGTGTGTTTGTCTCCCGTGGGCAGGGCTGCAGGCAGGCAGGGTGCCACAAGCTGTTCTCCTTCCAGACTGGGCAGCTGGCCCATCCCGCATGTCGCTCACCCCCGCAGAGAGCCACGGAGAAGGGTGTGAGGCTGATGGTGGACGCGGAGCAGAGCTACTTCCAGCCAGCCATCAGCCGCCTCACCCTGGAGATGCAGCGCCGCTTCAACAGCGATCGGGCCATCATCTTCAACACCTACCAGTGCTACCTGAAGGTGAGGTCTGGCAGGAGGCTGGGTGGGAAGGACCTGCTGGAGCAGCTGGATGGAGACCTCGGCTCCTGAAGCCGTGGCAATGTGATGGCACAGCTCCAGGACTGGCTGCATGAAAGCACAGGGCAGAGGTGGTGCTGGTGCCATGACCTTGTGCCATCTGCTCCCAGGAAGCTTATGACAATGTGACGGTGGATGTGGAGCTGTCACGCCGGGAGGGCTGGCGCTTCGGCACCAAGCTGGTCCGGGGTGCCTACATGGAGCAGGAGCGGGAGAGGGCGGCCCAGATCGGCTATGAGGATCCCATCAACCCCACCTACGAGAAGACCAACGAGATGTACCACAGGTAGGGTATGGCCCCAGCAATGACCCACCAGGCACGGGCTCGGGCAGCCTCACCACATAGCCCCGTACTGTCCTACAGATGCCTGGACTACATCTTGGAGGAGATCAAGCACAGCCGGAAAGCCAATGTGATGGTGGCATCTCACAACGAGGACACGGTGAAGTTCACCCTGCGCAGGTGGGTGCTGGGGCAGCAGCATGGCATGACAGGGACTGGGGGCTTGGGGGGCTCGGGGGTGAGATGTGCTATGGCTCGTCAGGTCTCCTCTGTGCTCGCCCCATGGGATCCTAGCTCCCATCTGGTGCTCCGGGCTTCCATGGGGGCTTGGAGCTGGGGCACAGCATGGTATCCCACAGCAGCTGCAGAGCCAGCCCCATTCCCCAACCCACAGACTGTTTTAAAATCAAATCCCTCAAGTTGTCACAGCCCAGCGTCTGTCTGGGACACGGTCAGTGCCATGCTCTTGTACTGGGGGGTGATCCCTGCCCCTCTGGTGGGGCGTGCTGCCCTGTCTCCATGCTTCCCTAATGCCAAGGCTTGGCTTGCAGGATGATGGAGCTTGGGATCCATCCCTCGGAGAAGAAGGTGTATTTTGGGCAGCTGCTGGGCATGTGTGACCAGATCACCTTCCCCCTGGGTGAGTGCTGGGAGCGAGGGGGACATGGCAGACGTGCTCCTGCCCCACCTTGATGCCTGGGGCCTCCTCAGGCAGCTGCTGTGGGGTCTGAAGGGTGGATGGAGCCAGGCTGTGGGTCTGTCAGAGCAGGACTGGCTGAGGACAGTGCCTTGTTGCCTCTTCCCCAGCTGTGCGGGGTGCTGGTAGGACGTAGATGAGGATGTAGGTGGAGAATTGCATCTGTCCCCTGGAGAGCCCAGGAGAGCG